CGAAATGAAAAGATTTAGCCATTCCAAGCTTACCTTTTTATCACCACCTCCAGGAAAATATTTGACATTGTGAAGAGAACCAATCTTCGATTGAATTGGCTCAGAGAAGGTAGCTTTATGATCGATTATTTGTATGTTTCCTCCACCTGAGTATTAGCAAAAAAATAGTTGCAATTAAATAGCTATATCTTTAAGTCTCCTATCGAGTAAAAGTAAGGACGAAATTAGATTAAATATCAATTTGCAGCTAAACGGTAAAATAACTGCGAAAATCGGTAGGAAGACCTAGAGAAATGCACCTAGTCCGGACTCCATAGTATGCATGATAATTTCCAGTCGGACCGTGGACGTGGTACATTTCCAGACGCTTCTCCGGCATCGTCGTCAGCATCGTCATTGCGTCTTGTCATTCTTAACACCACAATACAACTCGTCAAAGGGACAAATAAAGCCAGTCGTTTAATCAATTGTCTGCTAAATAATTGTGGTACCTCTCCTTCTGCCCTAGGCTATTCACCAATCCTATATCCTCGTATCACACCTTCACTATCTATAACTTCCTATGCCCTAGTCTCTTGTATGCCAACCAACAAATGTTCTGGTTCTACGTATTTTGATTAAGTTCAATGTATAACCAGAACATTTGCGGGTCGGCACACAAGAGACTAGGTTATAGGAAGTCATAGTCATGGCACTATGGATAGAAGAACGATAGATGAGGCGGCCAACAGTAGACGTGGTTGAGCATAGGCGTGGTGCATCAAACAAAGGCTTGACTATGAGGAATATTCGGGATCTTTAGCCTCGAATTAGTCTCCCATCCAGCTTAAGAATCCTGATTTTTAGGGCCCTACTCAGCAAGGCGGGAGTAGGCGTGCCATCAAAGGCTTGAGACAGTGTGGGAAATAAGGCTTCGAGTAGTACGGATAGAGTGGCAGGGGTCGAGTGAAATACCTTAACCAGGAAGGTAGGATGCGGGTTCTACGGTGCAAGATGGAGACTCTAATAAGACCTATGGGAACAATATACGGAACAATATACCAGACTCTGATCAGCATTCCAAGCAGAAGGGTGAAGCGGGGGAGGTGGTGAGAAAGACAGTGTGGAGTGCAAAGATTTCTCATGAAATCCGCACACTACATTTAAATAAGCAATTAAGAAGTTGTAATAGTGAAAGAGTGGCGAATAGCCCAGGACAGAATGAGAGATACCATAAGTGTTTAGCAGACAATTGATCAAAAGATCGGCTTCACTTGCTCGAATGACGAGTTGTAGTATGGTGCTAAGAATGGCAAGACCCACTGACGATGCCGGCAAAACGTCTGAGAATGTACCACGTTCACGGTCCGACTCTGGGAATTATCATGCATACTATGGAGTCCGGACCAGGTGCGTTCCTATAGGTCTTCATGCCAATGCGACTAAGTTGCTAAAACAAGGTCACAACTTCTACACAACAAAAGGAAACGGCGACCATACAAAAAGCCACACCATCTTGGTCTTCATACCTAAGATTAATTGCGAAAATGTATCCGAATGCATAGCGATTAAGTTAGCGTAGCCAATTAATTCAGATCTCAGCCTCACTTGTATAAGTCACCTTCACTTGTTGAGTTTTGTGTGCTTACTAAGAAATTATGGGCACCTCTTGTTTTCAGAGTCATTTACGTCTTTTCAACAAGTGCTGTTAACGCCAGCTTAAACAGGTCCAAAACATTTATCTGGTTAATGAATACATTTTTTGAAACGCACCGAATCCAAAAAAGCAAATCCAAATTCCTCATCGTTTTCGAACATCTGCCAAGCGACATCATTAACTTCACCAAACAGTTAGTGTGGCCAAACTTATATAAGAAACTCAAACAAACACATCATCAAAATTTTCCTTCCATCGGATCATCATACAAAATTACTGATTTCCCTACAAGATTCCCAGGATCCATCTTCTGATAGGTGATCAACTCCAATTTGACTCAAGAAACAGCTGCAACAGCGAAATAACATCAAATGGATGCAGTGCGCCAAACCAGATTCGTTGCACCTCCTTTCGAATATAATTATCCGTAGAATCAATTTCTTAGAAAGTTCTCTTCAAAATGTATAGTCCACCGTGACTCATTAAATTGAGACTACTGGCCATCCAGTCCTTCAACAGCCCATACAACTTTTTGTAGATAAACACAAAGCCGTGAAAAAGTAGGAAGACTTAGAGGAACGCACCTAGCCTGAAGTCCATATTATGCATGATACTCTCCAACGTCGGACTGTGGACGTGGTACATTCCCAGACGTTTCGCCGGCATCGTAGTCGACATCATCCGTGGGTCTTGCCATTTTTACTTTGGTTTGGGACCCAGAATTGCCAGCTAATTCGTGAGTATTGCATACACACACGCACACGGATGCAGGAAGCTAGAGCAAGCCTCAGAATTACACGATCATACGCAAGTTTATTTACATAAATAAAATTGTGACCACATCCGCTCCCCCTGCACCAACTTCACTCACATACATCTATGCACGACAAGCATAAAGCGGCCAATCCAATCATGATATACTTGATTAGATCGCAAAAAAAATACAAGAAGTAAGTAGAATCTCAGCCGGCTGCCTTTCTTGGTTTAGTGTTTTTGGTAATTGTTCTGGCTCTGACGATGTTCGTCACATGATGGGCGAAAGCTCAGCACAGATTCACATCGCATCACTTTGAGTTGAGGTCTTCTTCGTACAATTCAATAGACACAATTCGAAGGCCACCTCCTTTGGTGTCCGTTATGGCCAAGTTATAATTCCCTTCCACCTGCCTTTTTAAATGCAAATAAAAGGTATGCCAGTATTAATCTACAACTGCTTATCTACATATTTTTTAAATTACCCCTTCGAAATATCTAAATTTACTACATTTTCGAGCTATTTCTACCATTGATTTCTTTCTCCTTCTCGTTGTATCAAGAACAAATTAACTTTCCATAATTATCATCCTTCTACGACCTTCACTCTTTCTTTATTTTTACATGAAGCTCTATTAATGTGGTTTCATCTTGTTTTCCGAAATTAACTGTCTTGTCATGGCGGTCTTGATACAGGCATCTTATCCATTTTGGTGTGATATAGTAATCATGATATTTTCCAGCGCCGGACTGTGACTTGGTACATTCCCAAACACATCGCCGGGTTTTTTTATCTAGCTTCGCTAGTCCTAGCACCAAACTACGACTTTCTCTCAATTCCAGTTCATATGGAAGCTATGAAGACCAAGATGGTGTGGCCTTTTGTGTGGTCGCAGCCTCCTTTCGTTGTATAGAAGTTGTTTGAC